GCAGCTCAGTCCCGAAGCGGACGCCGAGGTCCCTCCCAGGTCCTAGTGGTGCAGGGTCCCTCCCGGGCCGCTGCCGGCACCCTCGCCCGCACGGCTTTGTCTCTGGCTGCGGCGGCCTCTGGGTCATTGTCTCCAAACCAGTCACCAGCGAGGTCCCCAGGAAACTCAGGTTTTATTGGAAGTCTCCTTTGTCTAAACTGGCCTTCAGTGGCTTCCATTACCTTAGTCCCGTGTCCTTCTCGCGGCCGGTCTGGCCCTGCACGCTCCGCCTGCCTTTCCGTCTCCTGCAGCCGCTCAGCTCCTGAGCTGCACAGGGCACGGTGCCAGGAGCTCACGGCGCAGAAATCCAAGGAGGTCAAGCAGATACGTGATTAAAACGTGATAGGTAGACACATGAGGGACGCAGGTGTGCATGAGACTTACTGGAAGGTGGACCAGGTGCGCACAGACTCTGGCTCAGAATGTTTCAGCATCGAGCACGACGTGCGCGTGTATACGTGCAAGGGCTAGAGGGGTGCTTCTTTAAGGCTTAAGCAATTGAAAATATGTAATAAAGTTTGGTCATTTCATTCTGGGAGTGAAGGTTGTGGCTACATCGCCAGCTGGTCATTCACATGCCCAGGAAGAGCACTGGACAGACCCAGACTTTTCATCACTTAATACTTTTTCTGTCTCTGAGAAAGCATTAGGGTTGTTGACGTTTTCCACAAGTTTTCAAGCCCTACTCCTGCAGCTCAGGTGGTTGAGCCTCGGTTGAGCGTTTGTCCATGCACCCAGAGGTCATTGGTTGATTGACATTCAGGGCATATACCTGGGTTCTGGCTTGATCCCCAGGAGGGGGCATGCAGGAGCCAGTCATTGATGTTTATCTCTCCCTCTCTCTAAAAAAAATAAATACATATTAAAAAATGTTTTTCAAGCCAGTTTGAGAAACTAGCTTTGAACTCTCAACAGAGACTCACTTTCTTCTGTGTTCACCAGTGTGCGTGAAGTAGGCGTCTTAGCTCACTAAGGCGGCGGCTCATGCGCGTGGATGAGGTAGTTTTCGTTCCCACACAGAAGTCTGTCCGTTTGTTCTGACTGATGGAGAGAACTCTGGAGTGTCACAGAGGTCAAGTGAGCCGTTGCAATGAAATGTTCTTCAGAGTTGCATTTAGTGTGGATGCTGCTGAAGTTTAGCATCCTGGCCTCTTGCGCCTCCCAGTCACCATGACAACCAGGGGTCCCTCAGGGGCCCTGCCTGCAGCTGAGAGCCCCCATTCTTGCAGGAATTGTTCCCAAATCCACAGAGAACAATGGACGCCTCAGACATGGGGACAGGAAGATAGTTTTTAAATAAACACTCACTTGATCATGATCTTTCTTCAGAAGAGCTCTCTCAACCCGCTTGTGTCTGGGGGAGGTGTGTGTGCTTGCGGTGGTAAACAGTGTCCTTGCCATTTACATGGCCAAAGGATCCTGCGTCCAGCGCTTACAAGGACAACCCGCAGAAACCACATGGAATGTGGGGAAACTGGTTCCCTTGGACTCGAGGTCTCCAGGGGGAAGTTCTGTTGTCTTCTCTGTTTGCTGGGTTTGCAGCGCCTCGCTCATGGCCCGTTGGGAGTAATGGGGTAGCAGTGGTTTGGGCGTCAGTGGGGCAGATCCAGTTTTCCTACTGTAAAACCAGCCCTTTCTCAGGTAAAATGCACATTTGCAGTTGGTTGGCCTTTTGCAGTAACGGTGACGTCTGACCTGCCTTTTTAATAACTTGCTGTGTGCAGGCTTTACGGGAACTGCTGCCTTTCATCTCTGCAGTAGCTCAGGGAGAGTATACTGCTCACCCCTCCTTGGAGGGAGCTGGTTTCGGACATGCTCAGCCAGGCCCTGCAGCCTGCGCTCTGCTGCTGCTGTCGTTACTGTCGGCGCCTCTTGTAGCCGCTCCTGCGCTGGCAGCCTGGGTTCCAGCTGGTGCTTACTCTTCTGCCCCCATGTTTGGAGACATCTGCTCCTGGCCAGTGTTTGATGCTTACACACTGTGAACTGTAATTACATCCGGAGAAGTTGTTTTCCTACCCCCCAAGATCACAGTTACAAGTAATATTCATTGGTAATGAGCTGTGGAGTGTGAGTGGGTCGTCTCTGCTTGGTGTTTTGTTGGACTTGGGTGTCTTCACTGCAGCTGTCAGCACAGTGGCTCCTAACCTTTTCTGGGTCACAGAGCCTTTGAGGATCTATTGAAAAAGCCTCTCAGGAAATTCACAGAGAGACATGACTGTCCGTGATAACTGTTCTTTTGTTGTTCATGGATCTGAAGTTAAGAACCTTACGTAGGTAGACTGAAATGTTTATGTGAAGCATGTAAAATTTGCTCATTTTTATTTTTTTAATCTATAGCTAATTACCCCTGTGTGTTTATTCACTCCCTTTTATCAGCACTGTTGATGGTGCTGGCTAACTGGGCCAGTCATCAGTGGGAGAACAAACTGCAGTGCAGGCCACTACTGTCCCCTTGGGGACATCTCAGTTATGACTTTGATGCCAGAGGGTTCTGTATCTAATGGTGAGACCCTGGGACATCTGGTTGACAGGGTAGACTGAGCTGAAGTGGAATCCCACCCAACTCAAATGCACAGGAAATGTGTAGCAATTTCCCCCAAAGCTTCTGCATATATAGCCAAGCTTGGGCAAGAGAAGGAAATGTCCTAGGTGCCAGAGTGCAGAGAGCACGCAAACCTGAAACAGCGCAGGATTTGAGAACCAGCTGTGGGCCTCGTGGACTGGAACAGTTTGAATACCCGAGCTGGCACGGGGCAGTAGCTTAGGCCTGTGTAGATCCAGGTCCACTGGGTCTGCCCAGCCAAGACAAGAAAATTGTCTGCCAGCCACTGGCCCAGAGCCCTGCGTGGTGATGTCACCAGGGTGAAGGAGGGTTCAGGCCTTGGAGTCCACACTGTCTGTACCTTCAGGCTCCTGAGCTGAGGAGTGGGCCTAGAAACTGGCTGGAGTGTGGATTGCTAAAGGGAGCATGTCCACTGGAGACCGTGCCTGTAAGAAATGACAAACCCTACCAAGAGCGCCACCTGCAGGGAGAGGAGAACTCACTCCAGGAACAAGCCCTCCGGGGAGTAGACAGCCGGCAGTAGGTGGTTGTGGTCTATGAGGGGCATCGTGTGGCCCACATGGTGATTTCGTTTCTCCTAGACCTGACATTGGCCAAAATTGGTTGCTTTAAAAATTTCTTACTAATAGGGTTTTGTTTTTGTAAGTAGCTTTCCTCTTATCTTTAGGAGAACGTATTGTGATGTCTCAGGGCCAAAACTATGAGTGAATTTCGGATTCACCACGATGTCAATGAGCTGCTCAGCTTGCTGCGTGTCCATGGAGGGGATGGGGCCGAGGTGTACATTGATCTCCTGCAGAAGAACAGGACCCCGTACGTCACTACCACTGTGTCTGCACACAGCGCCAAGGTGAGTGCCCATCCCTGCGCTGCTGTCACTGGTGAAGACAGCCCGTCCCTGTGCTGTGCACAGAGTTCACCTCCCTGGCTCCTGACGGGGTGCCCTAGCAGTGCCAGTGATGATGTCGGACAACTTGGCAAGTGCTTTCCATGGACCAAGTGTCTGCTCAGCTCAGTGCCTCTGCTGACCCCGTGGCCACACTGAAATCTCTTTAAAGTGTACTGTTTTTCTTTATTCAAAAAATATATGATTCAAAATTATAGATCAGCAGTAAAAGGTAACTTTGAAATCTTTTAAAAAAACACATTAAGAAGCTTCAGGTATTGAACCAGCTTAATACTGGCACAAAGATAATTAGAAAAATTCACTGAGCCCTGGCCAGTGTGGCTCAATAGTTAGAATGTTGGCCAAGCACCAAAGGGTCGTGGGTTCGATTCCTGGTCAAGGGGACGGGACATACCTGGGTTGCAGGTTTGATCCCCGGCCCCGGTTGGGGAATGTGCAGGAGACAACCAATCGATGTGTCTCTCACATTGATGTTTCTCTCTTGCCCTCTCCTTCTCCCCCTCCCTCCACTCCTCCTTTCCACTCTCTAAAAATCAGTGGAAAAAATATCCTCAGTGAGGATTAACAAAGAAAAGAAAAAAGAAAGATTCACTGAGCACATTAATTTAGGAACACACATTACATTTAATCTATCACAGGGGGAGCGTTAAAAACCAGTGAGAAAACTTAACCCCTGAACCAGTACATGGTAATAAATTCAAGAGGGAACAGAGTAAAATGAAGGCATAAGCCACCAGGAGAAAAATACAGGGTTATTCTGTGACCAGGCTTGGGAAGAGAAGCCTTGGAGGAGAATGGTTTCACAGATTGAGGCGTCTTCTTAGTTTTATTTCAGCAATATATGGTTATTACTTAGCCTACCTGATTTTACTCCACTTGGGTCTTTGTGTTTAATTTTCTGGAAGATGTTTTTTAAAGTTCTTAGTTATTGTCACTAAATCACTTGTGTTTGTTCTTTTGAGGTTAAAATAGCAGAATTTTCTCGTACTCCAGAAGACTTTCTGAAGAAATATGATGAACTGAAATCGAAAAACACAAGGAACCTTGACCCACTGGTGTACCTGCTGTCAAAGCTCACGGAGGACAAAGAGGTAACTGTCATGCTCGGGTCGGGCTTATCAGGGAAGGCGCGTGGGGAGCCTGCCTTGTGGGGCAGTTCTGGCGAGTGTTGTAAGCACACAGGTTTGCACGGTAGAGATAACGCCTCATGACCCTGCTGTGGTGGGTGCCCTCCTGTTGCTCTACCCGCCTGTCAGACTGAAAATAGCTCAGAGTGGTAGACAGAAACACGGGAAGTACTGACAGTAGTTACTTCGGGGGGCTTTGTTGTTGTTTTGTGCCATGTTTTTTTGTTTAGAGCTGTGTACTTGACGCTAAGAAAAGCACGTATCGAGCTGGGGGAGCCATGGCACATGGGAGCACCCAGGAATGCATTAGGACCTTCCTCCTGCTTCCCAAGCTCAGGGTCTGTTCAGGGGTGGAGGCGCACCCTCCATGCCAAGGACAGGGAGGGAGCCATCCAGGTGTAGAGAAAGGCAGTGCCCCTGGGAACGGAGTTTGGGAATTGGCTGTTAAAGCAGCTGGAGGGTCCCTCCTTATGAGTGGAAGACTTGAACCTGGTGGCAGGAAGCATTGGGAGACCAGACTGCAGCTTGAGGACTGATGGGAGTGCCTGCTCTCACCCTTCATGTGGTCACTGGGGCTGGGAAAGGAAGGGCTGGGGTGTCGGTGCCAGGCAGAGTGCAGACGTGTGCGGCCCCTTGTCATTCAGGGTTCTGTGTGTGCAGACTCTGCAGTATTTACAGCAGAATGCGAGAGAAAGAGCCGAGCTGGCAGCCACGGTGACTGCCAGCAGCACCACCAGCTTCAGCGCCCCTGCCACGGCCTCCAGGATCTCCATGCAGGAGCTCGAGGAGCTGAGGAAGCAGCTTGGCAGCGTGGCCACGGGCTCCACGTTGCAGCAGGTACTGTGACCCGCCACCCACAGGCCCACACTCACTGCAGCCGGGGCAGGGAGCGCCAGCAGGGGGTGCACATCACTGTCATCTGTTAAAGATGAGTCTGACGTGGAGACGCTGATCGGGACTAGCTGTGTGTGGACAGGATCCTGGGCACGGTGAACTGGGGCAGGAAGGTTCTGTCCCACCCAGGCAGGTGACTCGCCTGCTGCAAGGCAGTTGTGTGGGTTAAGCCAATGCAAACTGCAATTTCTATTTCTCTCTGTTAATTTTTAACCATTTGTCTTTTTAAAATTATACTTGATAGACATTTTCTCTAGATCTTTTTCTTCTGTACTTACTGCCCCTTCTTGCTTCTGAGTTTATGTACTGCCCTCTTCTTTTGATGTACGTCATCTGCTCACAGCATTGCCTCGGCCTTCAAGCCCCACAGAGCTGTGTCCCCATGAGGGTCTGAGCTTATGTGCTTGTTGAGCACAGCAGCTGTGAAAGGGACAATGGCCAGCACTGGTGGGCATGTGCTGGGTCCAGCACCTCACAAAGCCCTCACCCCGGCACCGCGTGTGACAGATGGAGAAACTGAGTTTGCGCCTGCCTTTCTCACTACTCCTAAGCCAGTGCTTCTGAGAGCCACCCCCATGGCCCTGGTCAGCTTCTGGCGGCCAGTTCCTCAGGAGGACACTGTCCATGCATGTGCCTGGAGCCAGCCTCTCCTAGTGTGGCCCTCTCCATCCGTCCCTTGTACCCAAGGGGCTCAGATGGGGCACCCCTTCTCCAACCATCTGTCGCTGGGGCCATGTCTTCACCCAGCAGCTCATGTCTAGACTTTGAACTGCCGGGAGAAAGCACAGGTGTTCCCAAGGGTCAGACTGCCCTGGTGAGGTGCCCTCATTGCCAGTCCCCCTTAATATGTGGGCCCTGCACAGACCGACACCCTGTCAAGGGCCTGGGTCTCCATCTCTTTTGCCCCCAGCCCCTTTCATGGTGACCAGCTCGGAGTCATTTCATTTATACACATACTTATTGAACCCTCATGCTCAGTGATGTTAGTTTTAACTGTTTGTACTAAAAGTATATCTTTGTTTTTTGCTTTTAAAAAAAATCTCACCAGTCTCTGGAGCTTACAAGAAAGATGCTTCGAGACAAGCAGAACAAAAAAAATTCAGGCCAGCGCCTCCCCGTCTTCCCTGCCTGGGTGTACGAGAGGCCCACGCTGGTCGGGGATTTTCTGACTGGCTCAGGCCTAAGCACGGACACAGCTGTGCCTATAGGTATGTGAAGCACTTACTTCTAACTGCCTGTGTGGTGACTCCATGGACAGGTGGCCACTGTGCTCAGAGCCCATCCTGTGCCCACAGGTAGACAGGTGGTGTGGTGTGTGCGTGCTGCCAGCAGGTTTGTAACCTGCAGATGTGGTGCCGTGTGATCGTGCTGCCGGGTCCTGGTCTCGGGAACCCAGGGCAGCTTGTGTATGGGCAGCAGGGGTGATTCTCAGAGACACCTTTCTCCTGGTGCTGCCTCCAGGTCCCCATCTGTCCCAGCAGGTGTCAGGGGGGACACTGAGAGTCGTTCTAGAGCTGGGAGCCGCCTGGGCCCTGAGGCATTTGGTGGCAGCCCTACTCAGTGGCCTGGGACTGTCCTCAAGTCCGTTGGGTGGTATCTCATTGTGTGTTTATGATAGAAATTGTAAGTGTTTTAAGGTCTTTAAGGAAGACCTCCCTTTTATCCCAGAGCAACCAGACTTACCAAGTTGTAATAAGCACTGCACGCAGACCCCATTGGACGTGCTTTTCAGATTCCTGATTGTGTCCTTTAAGTGCAGGCAGGTCCCTGCGTGTAGAGGTTTCTGCCTGCCTAGTGCTTTCAGCCTCCAGTGGGCTCCCAGCCTGCCAGACGATCAGCGCTGTTCCTCCTGGTGGTTTGGAATCTCAGCCTTCCGTGCCCCGATGGGCTCAGTTGACGCCAAATGAACAGCTAGTTCTTATATCCGTAGTTATTTGAGGAAATTACACAGAGGAGAATGAGTGAGAGTGTGACTTTCAGCAGGTAGATTAGGTCAGGAGAGAGGCCAGTGGGAGCGGGGAGCTCTGAGTCAAGGCGCGTGGGCCAGCTGGTGTCTGCAACCCACAGGCTCCCTGCCCCTGGCCGCCCAGGAGTCGGCCGTCGTGGAAGACCTGCTCTACGTACTGGTAGGTGTGGATGGCAGATACATCACCGCCCAGCCCCTCACCGGGAGACAGAGCCGGACCTTCCTCGTGGACCCCAACCTGGACCTGTCCATCAGGGAGCTGGTGAACAGGATCCTCCCAGTGGCTGCCAGCTACTCCACCGTGACCAGGTAGGCCCTGGACATCGGCCTTCTCGGGCACACTTGGCCCCGGAGCGTGTGCCAACCAGCTTCACTCCTGGCACGATGTGAAGGGCCTGGGGACAGGTGCAGGGAGCCCAGTCTTGGCCTGAGAGCAAACAGAATGTCTAACCTCATCTGAAAAGGTAGCTCCCAGCTTCTCAAGGTGCTGGATGCTTCCTTTCCTCATAGGTTCATTGAGGAGAAGTCTTCCTTCGAATACGGGCAGGTGAACCATGCATTGGCGGCTGCCATGAGGACCCTGGTGAAGGAGTACCTGATCCTGGTGACGCAGCTGGAGCAGCTGCAGAGGCAAGGCCTCTTGTCGCTGCAGAAGCTCTGGTTCTATGTGCAGCCGGCCATGCGCACCGTGGACATCCTGGCCTCCCTGGGTACGTCTCCCCCAGGCCAGGAGAGCCGGTAGGGGGCGGGGCGCATGCAGGCAGATCCTGTGATGGAGCACTGAGATGTGAAGATGAGATGGGTGGTGTCGCAGGAGGGACCCCTGGGCCAGCTTGCTAGTCATTCGTGTCTTGCTTTTGTCACTGTGGTTGTGAGGCCAAAGCTGTGGAGCTTCATGTTTTACTAATTCGCGGGAGGAAACTGGAAGCTCTGGTAAACTTTATTTGCAACTACAGCTTTGGGTGTATCCCACAAAGAGCACCGTCCCGGGAGGAGGTTGGAGGTGAGGCTCCGCGTGGCCTCCCCTTTCTCAGCACTGAGCGCCTCTTCCCCTTGCAGCCACCTCGGTGGATAAAGGTGAGTGTGTTGGGGGGTCCACCCTGAGCCTCCTCCACGACCGGAGCTTCAACTACACAGGTGACAGCCAGGCGCAGGAGCTGTGCCTATACCTCACCAAGGCCGCCAGCGTGCCCTACTTTGAGATTCTGGAGAAGTGGATCTACAGGGGGATCATCAATGACCCGTACAGGTGGGGTTGGGGACGTGGAGGGCGGGCAGGCGGCTCTTCAGCTTATTCTATTGCGTGGTGGACGTGTAGGACCCAGATTGGCCTCTTAGCTGCCTTTGTGTGGGCTCCTGGTGTGACGGATATAAGCGCATATGACGAAATACGTCAGCTCACAACGAGTTCTGTTGGGTTGAGATTTATTTGTGAGAACATTTTACACTTGATTTTAGCCAAAAGGCTGAGAAGTGTATTTGTCAAAATACCTTTTTTTTTTTTTTTAATTCTCACCCAAGGATTTTTTTCCCATTGATTTTTTTAGAAAAAGGGGGTGGGAGGCGCCCTAACTGGTTTGGCTCAGTGGATAGAGCATCGGCCTGCGGACTGAAGGGTCCCAGGTTCGATTCCGGTCAAGGGCGTGTACCTTGGTTGCGGGCACATCCCCAGTAGGGAGTGTGCAGGAAGCAGCTGAATTGATGTTTCTCTCTCATCGATGTTTCTGGCTCTCTATCCCTCTCCCTTCCTCTCTGTAAAAAATCAATAAAATATTTTTTTTTAAAAGAAGAAGAAAAAGAGGAGGGGGGAGTGAGAGAGAGAGAAACATTGACATGAGAGAAAAACATCAATTGGTTGCCTCCTGCATGTTTCTGGACAGGGGCCTGGGACAAACCTGCAACCGAGGTACATGCCTTTGGCCTGGAATCGAATCCAAGAGCCTTCGGTCCATGGACCGATGCTCTGAGCACTGAGCCAGATGGTCCAGGGCTTGTCAAAATATCTTACCAATAGACTTGTGGTCTAGGAATAGTTTCTCTACTAATGACCCAAATAAAAGCTGGTGCGATGGGCTAAGTAAGGAATGCGATTTTGAGGTCCTGGTGCGTAGGTGATATTTGAGACGGGATGTGAGGTGTCTGGGCTCTGATGGGCAGGAAAGCGTCCCCAACGTGTCCTGTTACCCACATGCGTGGTGAAAGGAAGGGCTGGTTCCTTTGAGAGGTGAACCAGCCTCCCATCCTGTTCTGTGACCCCAGCTCTCTCTGGCTCCAGGTCACCTCGCAACCCCAAGTGAGGTTGGCAGGTTTGATTAATTCACAGTTGAGAATTAACGGTAGTGAGACTGTGCTTGGCCTCCGTGGTTGTGACCCAAGATGCCTTCCTGCTTTCAGCGAGTTCATGGTCGAGGAGCACGAGCTGCGGAAAGAGAAGATCCAGGAGGACTACAACGACAGGTACTGGGACCAGCGGTACACTGTGGTGCAGCGACAGATCCCATCCTTCCTGCAGAAGATGGCGGGCAAGGTGCTCAGCACAGGTGATGCCCGGGGTGGGGAGGGGGAACAGCAGGCCTCAGGAGGGGCCCCATCCTCCCGGACGTGCCGAGTGTCCTCTGTG